TTTTAATTTTTTTTACTAAAAAATTCTTAAAAAATAACATATTTTGGAACAAATTAGTGCAAAATTTTCTCAGTTTAATAAGTTTCTTATTGAAAAACACACTCATTTTTAAAAAGTGGCAAAAATAATTCTTATCTTGCAATTTTCCACATGGTTCTTGGCTTTCTTTTGGCCAAAATCTTGTTTCGGCAAATTTTTACAAATTTTAATTTTTTTAACTAAAAAATTCTTAAAAAATAACATATTTTGGAACAAATTAGTGCAAAATTTTCTCAGTTTAATAAGTTTCTTAGTGAAAAACACACTCAATTTTAAAAAGTCACAAAAATAATTCTTACGTTGCAATTTTCCACATGGTTCTCGTAAAATATTACAAAATTGAGCTTTTTTGAGAAAAAAAAAACTATTAAATTCATAGAAAATAACGCATTTATGATTTTTTTGGCCAAATTTTTTAGTTCATAAAGTTTATTGGGTGAAAAAAAATGACGTAATTTTAATCTTATTCAAATTACGTTTTTAGTAAAAAATCACCAAATAAGATTAAAACCACGTTATTTAATCTCGTTTTTGGTCGAAATTTGATCAAAAAACAAGCGACAAAAACCTTTAATCCGGTGACATGTGCAATCATGTAAGTCAATAGCGAGTAACTTGCGATATTGAAAGGTACCCCAAGCCCCATATCAGCCGATCTTTGGTACAACAAACACGACAATTCCCCATTTGCGACAAAAAACTGCACAAGACAGTGACACGGCGGGAGGGCCATCTCGGGGATATCCACAGGGTTCCACGCACACATTATAATCCTCCTATCATTGGGTTTATTTCGAATCGTGTTGATAACATGAGCCAATTGGTCAATTCCTTGATTGGTGTAATCAGCTCTCATTCCTTTGTATTCAGCCCCGAAGTGGCGCCACTGGAAGCCATAAACCGGCCCCAAATCGCCCTCTTCCCGCTCATTGAGCCCCACTGAATCGAGGAATTCTCGCGTACTGTTAGCATCCCAAATATGGACATTTTTCTCTTTCAATTCATTCGCGTTTGTTGAGCCTTTTATGAACCAAAGCAACTCTTCGACGACGCCGCGCCAGAAAACACGTTTCGTGGTCAATAAGGGGAAGGTGTTGTCGCGTAAAGAATAGCGCATTTGGGCCCCAAAAATCGAAAATGTGCCAACACCAGTTCGGTCGCTTTTTTTAACCCCCTTGTCGATGATTAATTTGATGTGGTTCAAGTATTGGTATTCTTCGTGTTCTTGTTCGAGGGGTAAACCGCTGGTTTTTGGGTCACGGCAGGTATCTCCGATGTTTAAGGGGTTATCGGAGACGTTTTCCTTGTTTGAGTCGTCTTTGAGGTTAGGTTGGATTGTAGTGCTAAAATTTCGTTTTTGGGGGTTTTCAACGGTAGAAATGGGGAAAATAACACTTACGATAACATTTTCTCGGATTTAATAACACTAAACACTCACGGAAATTTAGAAATTCAATGAAAAAAGGCGAGATTAGAGCGAAAAATTTCCCGCCAATTTGAAAGTAGTTGGCGTTGGTGCTAATAATTTAGGGATTTTTGGTCCTTTTCTTGGTGGTAACAATTTACAAATTTTAATTAAAAATAATCAATTTCGCACTTTCTGCTTCAAAATCTTTAAAAAAAACTTTACAGTTAATTGACTAGTGGTTGATAATTTTTCCTGTTTGAGTCACTTTTTTGGATTAAATCCGATTGCGTTTTGGTGATTTGTAAGCGAAAAATAGGAAAAACAAGACTTACCATAACATTTTTTGAAATTTAACAACACAAAAATTTAGAAATTAAGACAAAAAACAGAAAATTGGAACAAAAACTACGAATTTAAAAATATTTAGTTGGCGTTGGCGCGGGATAGTTTAGGGATTTTTGGCGTTTTCTTAGTAACAATAAGTTACAAATTTTAAATTAAAAATAATAAATGTCGCACTTTTTACTTAAAAATCTTTAAAAAACATTAAATGTGAC